ATATATAAATACACTATATTTAAGAAATATTTCCATGTATATACTGATTTATATATAATTTATATTATATATAAAAAATCAATATTTTATATATATAAATAATAGTTTTTTTTTCCCTAAATATGCATGCATGTGTGTGTATTTAAATATACAAAATAATTTATAGTGGGTGCACAGTGTATAATTATTTTGTATATATAAATACACACACATGCATGTATATTTAAAAAAAAAAAACTATTATTTATATATATAATATAAATTATATATAAATCAACATGAAAATATTTCTTAAATATAGTGTATTTATATATACAAAATAATTATACACAGTGCACCCACTATAAATTATTTTGTACATTTAAATACACACACATGCATGTATATTTAGGGGGAAAAAACTATTATATATATATATATATATATATATATACATATACATATATTATGTAAACACAAACTTTTTTTTTGGATGCGATTAATCGCGATTAATCGTTTGACAGCCCTAAAAATAACATTATCTGTTATTTTATGAATTTTAAAGTACACTACAAGTGCTTAAAAGTGCACAATATAAACAGTGTTATCTATTGTGGCTCCGCATATTCATATCTGTTCAAGAAGCACGTTTGAATACGTGCAAATTTCAGAACGAGTCTTTGGTGTTCATGTGGCATTGGGTTGACATGAGGATAATTAAATGACATGTTTTCTTTTTTTAGTTCCGCTATTATAAAAAGAGAGTGATTCTCCTTGTCAATTCTCCGGTGTTTTGCTAACGGGGACAGACGCGGGGCGCAGTGTTTGCATGTGTGTGTGATGTGATCAGCGTTAAGCATCTGGGGGCCCGTTTCAATAACATATATGGGGACCTACCCACATAAAACATACACATACTCCTGTTGGTTTGCATCAGTGGTGTATTATTTTATTGTGTGCACTTTCAGCTTCGTGAACAGGCAGCTCAACATAGAAATAACCCAACCTTATTTGAAATAATTAAAACTATAATTATACAGCATTTTACATTGGCATAAGCCTCGATATCTTGTACGTTTCATTTCCTTTTAAAATTATTTTTTCTACTCAAAATAACATTGTAACTTATCCGATATCCGATCCGACCGATATTATACTTCAGATCGCTTAAACATCGCCAAGTTTGACCAATCAGAGACGCCAGTGTTTTGCAAATAACAAGGTTGATTTCGTAGCTTGTGGCTTTTAAAAGAGAAGAAGCTTTCTTTCTCAGCTTCACAGCTCGTGGTCAATCTACCTTGAATGGTTTAGACATTATGGCTGGAAATCAATATCCTATGGAGAAAATGAATGGGATTTTGCTGGTCTTTTGGGGGCGGGGCCTGTATCCACTGAAATGGGTTAAGGCCGGCCGGCTGTGATGTGTTCTCCTGCCCACAGACACTAAAGCTCGGTTTTACTGCAATTAAAGAGACCCTTGAGCACACAGATATATCTGCACAACAAAACACTTCATTCAGGTCGAAGAACTACTGTAAATCAAACTCTGGGGGCTGAAAGGAAAGAGAGAAAACATCAAAATAACTAGATCCGAGTGCATATTTCGGTTATTAGAATCCAGAAACAAAACAAATTCATCAACTAGGTTTAATACCTTGAAAAACTTTAAACTGTCACCGTCCAGGTACCGGGACGCCTAACTTTACTTCACTATATTTCTATTAAATCCTAATCTAATTATGACAAATTATATATCGTTGGAAATTTCTAAGACTTCTAAATAGATATTCTACCCCTGTTTTGTGTTACACATTGTGTAGGAAGAGTAATTGATTAATTTATGACAAGAGTGCACCTCAAAAAAATCTGCATCATAAAAGGAGTTTTGACCTTCGATGCACCCACTTTTAATCATTGAAACCTCTGTTTTTATGCTAAAAGTTCACAATAAAACATATAATCTAGTATTTTTCAATACAAAATAAAAATATATAGTATAATATTATCCTCTAAAAATGATAATATTTATATTTATTATCCTCTAAAATATAATATTATTTTTCATCGCCTTTTTTATTATATCACATATTTTAGTAGTTCTCATAAATTAGGTATCATTTGAAAGCTTATAAACTCAGAATTCATTGTGTGAAAACTGTTTTATAATTGAACGTTGCGTTACCATTGAAATGGTACTTATTTTGTCAGGCTCCTCCCCTTTTGGGCATCATTATATTTCATAATTTATGATCAAAACCTTTTCTAATCTTGACAAAACACATATTGTCAGAAAGGTTCGAGTCTCAAGGTTCCAAATTTTGTGACAGAATTAATATTTGGACAGAAATGTATTAATTTGTTAAAGCAGAATGTGTACAACTAAATTCAATGGAATTCAATGGCACTCGGTGGCTATTTTTGGTACTACGCCTAAACAAAATCTCATGGGAACTTCAATTTTTGTGATATCAACTTCAAATTTGGAACATAATTTGATAAGATGTATGGCTTTGATTTTATAGAAATTTTAGAGTAAAAAATATTTTGTAAAATATAAATTTTATATAAAATAAAAAAAAACATATAGAACAGTATATTTGATTTACTGAATTGAATTGAATTTATTTATTGAATTGAATTTATTTATTTGATCAGGGACAATGCACAAAAAATCCTTAATCTAAGAAAGAAGAGATGACATGTGCCAGGTTATAGCAAAAAAATGCTAGTTTCCGCCTGCAGTCTCTGGACAGGTTGATGGTATACTTACAAACATTAAAAATTATATACAGAATTATAATACACAGTTGATTCGAACACAGAAGCATCACTTTACTCATATCATATAACACTCTCCACTACAAGAATCTATAACTCATTCATTCATTCATACTGTAAATTTAAACTTCCCTAACTTTTTCATACTTTCATTTTTTTAAGTGTTTTCAGTTCAGCAATATTCTGCTGAGTGTTTTCTTTAAAACAAGACCAAACTTGGTTATACTGTATATTCCAAAGCATTCTTAAATTACAACCATTTAAGTTTGAATAGTGCATTTTAACCCCCATTCTCAAAAAGGGGGGTGACAGCTAATTAAAAGATATATAACTTGACAAGAAGAACACAAGGGCTATAAATACACAGGCCAACAAATGAACAAACTAGAAACACGCATTCAGACAAACAACTGAATTAGACTAAACAGAGCATGATTGGTTGTGGTTTGCTATTGGCTGATCTCATGTGAGTGACAGGTTAAAGCCCCGCCCTCATCATCATCAGAGAAGAGAAGAGATGCAAGAGGAACTTATTCTGATTCAAGATTAATCATTTATAATTGACTGTGATTTAAGGTTGGAATCATCTTTGTTATAGTGTTTCAAAAAAGTTTATGACACACTGTAAGTCGCCCCACGCTGTGTGTGAGAACGGCTCCTCAAACATGGAGCTCTTCGGGATGTGTGCTGACACTTTTCTAAGCAGTAGGTCTTACGATTTTCGCCCAGGGCCATAGCAGGAACATATCGATTTGGTTTTCCGGGAGGCGAGGTTGTGCGCACACTTTATGATCTGACACATCAAGGCTAGCAACCATGTAAAGGCAATAACCAACATATCCTTTTCTAAATAATACAGAAAAAGGCATGTTGTGTTCAATTTTCAATGTTCACTGTGCCATTTACAGGTAGAGGTCAGATGTAAAGCTTTGACTTCTTCTTGCAGACTTCTAGACCATTTCATGCCTATATACACATTCATACATACACACACACACACACATGCATGGGCTACGTATATACAAAACAAACAAACAAAACATACATTCATACTTAAAATCATGCACTCTCAGAAAAAAGGTACAAAAGCTGTCACTGAGGCTGTACCTTTTCAAAAAGTAAACTTTTGTCCATTTCAGGTGCTAATATGTACATTTTAGGTGTTAATGTGTCAATTTTAGGTGCTAATAAGTACATTTAAGGTGCTAATATGTACATTTTAGGTGATAATAAGTACATTTTGAGTGTTAATATGTACATTTTGAGTGTTAATATGTACATTTTAGGTGCTGATATGTCCATTTTAGGTCCTAATATGTACATTTTAGGTGGTAATATGCATATTTTAGGTACTAATATGCACATTTAAGCGTTAATATTTACATTTTAGGTGCTAAAATGTCCATTTCATGAGCTCATATGTCCATTTCATGAGCTAATATGTCCATTTTAGGTGCTAATATGTCCATTTCATGAGCTCATATGTCCATTTCATGAGCTAATATGTCCATTTTAGGTGCTAATATGTCCATTTTAGGTGCTAATATGTACATTTTAGGTACTAATATGTACATTTTAGGTGCTAAAATGTCCATTTCATGAGCTAATATGTCCATTTCATGAGCTAATATGTCCATTTTAGGTGCTAATATGTCCATTTAATGAGCTAATATGTCCATTTTAGGAGGTAATATGTACATTTTAGGTGGTAATACGTACATTTTAGGTGGTAATATGTACATTTCGGGAGTTAATATGTACATTTCAGGTGCAAATATGTACATTTTAGGTGCTAATATGTACCACTAATGTACCAATATGCAGCCTTTGGGTACAAAAGTGTACCTTTTGCAGCCCCAGTGACAGCTTTTGTACCTTTTTTTCTGAGTGTGAGAAGCATTAGTGTGTCCATACTTTCGACCAGTAGAGTACATTCCATGTAAAAATGACTTCATATCAGATTGTGTATTGATATGTTTTAAGCGGGCACATAGTTTCACTGTCATCAGCGTCAGCACTGACCAACACAAGCTGAAACGTATGGTCAGATCTGATGTACGAGTATGAGACTGGTCTAAAATGTGGACTGGAAGTTGCACTAGTCATTTCTTCCCTATTGTGCAGTATATCCGAGTTAAAGTCCAAGCATTCCTTTTAAACTGCACAAATAAAATACAAATCTCCTGAAATGTTTCTCAGAGACGGAGTGTGTTCTCATGTGATCTGTGTGTGTGTGTGTTCAGGTGACGGAGACTCGGACGGGTCCACTCGGCTGCAGCACGTATGATAACCTGGACTCGGTCAGTTCGGTTCTTCTTCAGAGTCCCGAGAGCAAACTTCATCTGCAAGGTGTGTGACTTACTTATTATGTGACTTAGTGCTTTATCATGTGACTATAGGGCTTGTTATGGGATTTAGTGCTTTATTATGTGACTTAGTGCTTTATTATGCGACAAAGTGCTTTATTATGTGACTTAGTGCTTTATCATGTGACTATAGGGCTTGTTATGGGATTTAGTGCTTTATTATGTGACTTAGTGCTTTATTATGCGACAAAGTGCTTTATTATGTGACTTAGTGCTTTATTATGTGACTTAGGGCTTTATAATGTGACTTAGTGCTTTATTATGTGACTTACTGCTTTATTATGTGACTTAGGGCTTCGTTGTGTGACTTAGTCCTTTATAATGAGACTTAGTGCTTTATTATGAGACTTAGTGCTTTATCATGTGACTTAGTGCTTTATCATGTGACTTAGTGCTTTATTATGTGAATTAGGGCTTTATCATGTCACTTAGTGCTTTATTAAGTGACTTAGGGCTTTATTATGTGACTTAGGGCTTTATCATGTCACTTAGTGCTTTATTAAGTGACTTACTGCTTTATTATGTGACTTAGGGATTTATTATGTGACATGGGGTTTTATTGTGTGACTTAGCGCTTTATTATGTGACTTAGTGCTTTATTATGTGACTTATGGCTTTATTATGTGACTTAGTGCTTTATTATGTGACTTAGTGCTTTATCATGTGACTTAGTGCTTTATCATGTGACTTTTATTATGTGACTTAGTGCTTTATTTTGTGACTTAGGGCTTTATTGTGTGACTTAGTGCTTTATTATGTGACTTAATGCTTTATGATGTGACTTGGTGCTTTATTATGAGACTCGTGGCTTTATGATGTGACTTGGTGCTTTATTATGAGACTCGTGGCTTTATGATGTGACTTAGGGTTTTGTTGTGTGACTTAGTGCTTTATTATGTGACTTAGTGCTTTATTATGTGACTTAGGGCTTTATTAAGTGACTTAGTGCTTTGTTGTGTGACTTAGTGCTTTATTATGTGACTTAGTGCTTTATTATGTGACTTAGGGCTTTATTAAGTGACATGGTGCTTTGTTGTGTGACTTAGTGCTTTATTATGTGACTTAGTGCTTTATTATGTGACTTAGGGCTTTATTAAGTGACTTAGTGCTTTGTTGTGTGACTTAGTGCTTTATATTGTGACTTAGTGCTTTATTATGTGACTTAGGGTTTTGTTATGTGACTTAGGGCTTTTTTATGTGCTTTAGAGCTTTATCATGTTATTCGGTGTGTTATTCCACTACGGTTTGTCTGACTTTTGATCTGCACAAGCTCTAGCAAGCCAGAAACACATTGAATACCTGCAGTAATGCTGCAATAAGAAGGACACAACGAGTAAAACTTAATCTAATGAACTTGAACAGAACATCAAGCGACCTTGAGCTTTGGAATGGTGCTATATAAATAAAACTTCTTCTTTTTTTTCTTTTAATGATTGCAAGTGAAATAATCTCAGATATCTTGTAGTAAGTGTGAACAGCGATCACAGATGTTTAGGCCGACCGAAAGCCTCCTAAAGAGTCTAGCAACACTCACTGAATCTGTCATCAGTCCAGCTGCGTGTCAATTTAAAAGGAGGCAAACAAACGACAGAAATGTTTTCGTTCATAACATTTACATGCGAAAAAAAAGGTCATTATGTCTTTATAATTGTAGTCTATCAGAACACAGTTTTGTTGGATTTCAGTCTGTGCACATCTGCTGTATTGGCACATGTTTGAGAGAAGAAACACACAGTTGCACAGCTGCGTCGAGACGCTCCTGCAGAGAAAACACATGCGTATGAGTCTGATAATACAGGTTACAGCAAGATCTGCTCGCCAGGGATGAGAATAGCACGACATGTTACCAATAACTGACGCATTTTTGTATATTGGGCAGTTATTTGTACAAATTTACTGCAATTCCCATCCCTGGCGAGCAGATATTGCTGTAACCTGTAATGTGTGTGTGTGTGTATATATATATACACATAGAGAGAGAGAGAGAGAGTGTAATAATTTGTCATTATTGAATTATGAATTCGATTTAAAATCGATAATTTGGGGGTTTTATGTCATATTTTTAATTATATCTTAATTATAAACAAATTATCATGATTTTTCCATGTCATAATTCTGACATTCTTGATTTAGACTTGTCAGTTTAGACTTTTTGTCAGAATAATGACTTTTTATCTTATAATTCAGAATTATGTCATAGTTTTGAATTACCATAATTATTTTTTTCATGTCATAATTTTGATATAGTGAATTTTTCTGTAATTATTACATTTTGTCAGGATATTTATCAAAATGATGACTTTTTTGATGTCAAATTTGACTCCAAAAGTTGTCATCATTTTGCATTTTTAAATCATAGTAATTACATTTTTATCATGATTTGTGTCACAATTTTGACATCTTATTTTTCTCTCGTGTCAGTTTTTGTGTTAATAATGCTACACTGTAAAAAAATATTGAAGGTTTAACTTAAAAAAGTAAGTAACCTGGTTGGCTTAATATTTTAAGTTAATTGAACTGGAAAAAGTGAGTTAATACAATGAAGGAGATTAATTTAACCATCAGAAACTCAAAATTATATGTTATCTCAACTAATAAACTATTTAAGTTGATTTGACAAAAGAAAAAAAAATGTGATTACTACATTGTAAAAAAAAATATTGCTGGTTTAACTTAAAAAAGTAAGTAACCTGGGTTTTCTTAAAATTTTAAGTTGATTGAACTGGAAAAAGTGAGTTAATACAATGAAGTAGAATCAGAAATTCAAAATAATATGTTATCTCAACTAAATAAATTATTATAAAGTTGATTTGACAAAAGAAAATATGTTGTGATAACAAATCTTGAAAATAGTTTTTACAGTAATGTAAGTGACATTGACAGAACATGTCTTTTACCTTGTTTGTATGGACTTTTTTTTTCATTGCATATTTTTGTATGTGACTTAGACAGATTATTAGTCTATGGGTTAGGATTGTGAAAGTCAGGGTTAGGGTTAGGCTGTAGTCTGTGATGCATTTGTGACTCTTTTATTAAATCCCCCCAGCTAAGAGTCATCTGTTCATTGGTGATGCTCTAGTGTTGTGTATTTATCTGTAATTCAGACGGCAGTCTCACTCCAGCACATTAAACAGCAGATTCTCAGTGTTTTATCAGTTGAGTCTGCATCGGTGGATGGAAACGCTCCTCCATTGCCAGTGCTCACAGTTAAACGGATCCGCTTTGGATGTGTCAGGTTTAATGTGAAGTTTGACACAAGTGTCTTACTCGTGTTTAATCGCACGTGTCGTTATTCATGCTCTCACTCTCTCTAGTTAGCCGAAGCACTCTGCTCTTTTATTTATGCGTCTTCCCTTTTGGTTAACTCACATTTTTTTTGTCATAATCTGAAATATGCTTGTTTCAAGCATGTCTACATGGATTTGATGATGGAAAAAGAAGAGCAAACATCTCTCAACATCTGCTCATAAGGTCACATGTTTACGCCACATCAGAAAAACTAAAATAATGCTTTGGTAAATCATGATTATGGCAGAGAAAGTCAAAATTATGAGAAACTAGATACGGAAGAATGAAATATAAGAAATATGAGATAATGTTTTTTTTTTATGTCACATTGACTTTATCTCATAATTTTGATTTACTGCGTCAATTTTGAGTTTTTATCTCATAATTCTGAGTTTAATGTCTTAAATTGTCATAATATTATTTTATTGTTATACTGATTTTCTTTTTTTTTTTTGACTTGCCAATTTTGACATATTGTATTTGTTATGAGTTTCTTATCATTTTGATTTTTCAATTTTGACTTTTTGTCATAATTATGACTATTTATTTCAGAATTCTGAGTTTTATGGCAGTTTTACATTTTTATATCGTCATCATTACATTTTGTCCTGGTTTTTTTTTCATGTCATAATTATGTACGATATAATAATTTAAAATTTTCATCTTAAAATTTCAGCTGTAAGAATATGTCATAATTTAGATTGTTTGTCTCAAAATTTCTTTTTTTTTTATCTCATAATCTGATTTACCAAAGCATGATTTGGTGGTGAAAATGTGCTTCCATATAACACTATTATAACAGAACAGCCACAGGTAATTCTGAAAATATTGACAGCATCAAGAAACACAAACTTGGAAGAAATGAACAGAAATGACTTTGTTTCCTTCCACCCATAACACAGCAGCTGGACGATGTGTGCTTGTTTCGAAACACCTACACCGTCTATTTCACCTCACACAACACTTCTGTATAACTGTGTAATGCAGAGGTTTAAATATAACCCGTTCTAGAAGGTCAGAGTGAAACTGCAAGGTGTTTAAGTTTTGTTTTAACTTCGGGATTGTTCCCACCAGAGACATGAGTCCGAGAGAGCAGCTGGAGAAACTGATTATCAGGCGTTTTCTCAGGACAGTCGCAATGAGTTTCGTTCTGTTCATCCTGTCTCCAAATTGCAACGTCATTGTTGGTTTTCAAGTCTTTCAGCAATGTGTATTTACGTGTCGACACTATATTCAGAACTGATTCTGCTTGCTTATGACTTTCTGAATATTGCAGTGCATTGCATTGTGGGATACACTATTTTGTGATGTGTGTTCTGTTGTTTATTTCATGGTTAATGCATCCGGTCATTATTTTTATGCAAGTTGTGTGCAGAATACATACAATTTCCTGGATCGTTGCATTGCATCTTAATTAGTTTTCTGTTGTAAATATATCTATTAGTAAACAATATATTAACAAATTTACAAATCAGACTTATTTTGAGTTTGTTTTCTTGTCCTTTTTTTCTTGTTTTAAGCAACAACAACAAAAAAATGGCATTTTAAAAACAAACAAGTATTTTTATTTTGCTTTGCAAGTAAACATCTTGTTTTAAGGATGTTGTGATTATTATAATTATTACGCATTTTTAGAATTAGTGTACTATTTCAAAGCGTTCAGGATGTTTTATCTGACAAAGTCAGATGTGCAAG